AAAACTGGTCAAAATATCGCACTCCTATTATTTTGTGGACAACTGTATATATATTTTTATATCAGAATTGAAGTCGGTTTTTTGCGTGTTGATACTATTTTTTATGTTTGTGTTCTGTAAAATAAAAAAATTTTGGTTAGGGTCTTTGTGAATTAAATGTGTATGGGTGTTTTTTTTTTTTTAATTTTAACCCTTGTCCTCTACTTAAAAAACGGAATACGGATGAATAGTGTGGGCTATGGCTGAATCATCGTATCCGAATTTTCGTGAAATCTACGAAAATGCTATCGACTGAATCCGGATAGCATATACTTTGAATGCGTACGTTCGTAAAAATTCAGATTTAGTGATCGCATTTTAGTACATTTCACGAAAATATGATCGCGATAGATTCAGCGATAGCCCTGAGTGTATTTTTAAGTCAAATATTTTCTGTTTAATCTTTTTCCTTTCCTCGTATCCGCCAAATAAAATACCGCGTAAGAGGTGATACAGAAAACAATTGTCTTTGGTGTTTCTCTATAGCAGAAGCTCATATTTAGTAAGTTCAGTTAGAAAACCCTTCAAAAGTTTTGAAGAAAATAAGTTTCCTTGCTCTTGAGTGAAATTTTCGTATTATCTCGTACGTGGTATTGCATTTGGCGTATGCTTGATATTGCGTACCAAGCAACGGTATGCAAAACTATGAGGTCTCTTTCGAAATTTTAACCATTGCTTACATGGTAGGGTTTAAATTTGCCTGTTGGCTTTAAGCTTGAGTAATATTTATTACTAGTTTTTAAGTTACTAGTTTGTAATCCCTTTGAGTGCATTCGTTTTTTGTACATATAAATCGTGAAACTTTAATAATCTGTTAGATACATATCTAATTCGATTTTCTGTCACTTTCACTTTCGCTAGGTTTAGAAAACATTGAGAATGAATCCGATTCCGATACAGATTCCTTTATATACTCTGATATATCTGCTGATACATTCGTTTCGCTGAGTGATGTGGACGATGAAGAACGTCAAGTGATCGAGCTCTCTAATGACTCGAACTATGATCGTGCTAACCTAGGTAAGTCAGTATTTTATGCTTAACTGATAATGATACGCGACAAGTAAAGAACACAAAAAAACCTACAGACAAAATTCGTGGGTCAACGCCTTCGCCCACAGTTTCCGATGATTATAAAAGTGATAACGAGGATTCACCAGCAAAAATGTCGTCGAAACGTTTCGAAAAGTCTAAACATGGCTCTGCGTTAGATAGAAATGCGGCGAAAAAATTAAATGTGCAGCAATATATTGATACACAACCATCCACCAGTAGTCACCGTAAGCTCACTACTCCAAGTAGCTCGAAAGAGAAAACGAAGAAAACGGGTAAAAGTCCCAATACTAGTGATACGTTGCTGGAACGCATAGACACGGTGCTATCAGAAGTAGTCGATAAAGATGATGATGAACAACTTACAGTTAAAAAGCAAATCACTGATGTTGAACTTGATGTTGAAGTGGAAAGTAATAATCAGGAGGAGAGCAAAGAAGTATCAGACCACACAGTGGAATGTAGTGGTAATATGGATGATACCGCCATAACAGCGCCGGAAGCAAACCAAGGTGATCATCTTAAAACAATCAAATTAGAATTACTAACCAATGCATTATCTTCCGCAGAGCCATCCAAATCAAATTCAATGGATATGGAAATGGAAGAGAAAGTGGAAGTAGAAGTTATAGAACAACAAAATAATGAATTAAAAACGGTAGTGGAGGCGAAAGCGGAAGAAAGAGTAGAAGAAATGTCCGATAATGTAAACGTCTCTGACGAAGCAGAGATCTCTAAATCTCCGGATATTGATAAGGATGTTGCAATAATGGACGTAGAAGAAAAAGCTGTGGTCGAAAGTTTACTTTCTAAAAATATTGATGATTCTAAAAATTCAGAATGTGAAGTACTTACTGTAGAAACAAGTGAAGAAGTGGTGGAATTAGATAGAAATGTAGATTTAAGTGAAAGTGTCGAAATCAATCAAAGTGAAGTAGTCAGCAAAGCAGAAAATACCGATGAAACGAAAAAACATGAAGATACTGAGGACAATACTGCTGATAGAAGCGGTACACCGCAAAAGGATAGCGAGACCGGCAAGAAACTGCATGCTCATTCGAAAAAAACTCAAGAAGGAAATGAAGATGGCGTCAAGCTAAATAATACATTGGATGAAGTAAACAATCAAGAAGAGTTATCAGATGAAAATCCTGAAGAGAAGGAAAATACAGACGAATTGAGAGTGGAAATAATTAGTCACGAAGAAACAGGCGAAAAATACAACGATGAATCTGAAAAAGATGGACAATTTGTCGATGAAGGCGAGGTTGGGAGCAGCATAAAATTAACTGAGAGGGATAAGGAAAAAGATCAGCCGGTTGTACACTTGGAAAATGAAGAAAACGAGGACTTAAAAGAAACGGATGAAGAACTTGAAGAGTCCTCAAAAGAATCGGAAAAACCTGAGCGGGGAAAACTTGATCCAGTGCAAAACGAGAGCCCAATAACTGATGAAAAAACCGAACTTGAGAAGAAAGATGAGTCCACAGACAGCACAAAAAATTCGAAGGAAACTCAAAATGAAAAAGATCGGAAATTAGAAACTCCTTCAAAAACGCGAATTTCGGAAAGGGAGACACGTTCTCGGACACCGTTGAAAGCTAAAGAAACAGAAAAGAAAACCCAAAATGTTCACACGGAAGCGAAAGAGAAATCGTCTGAAATTGACACAGCAAAAGACGAAATAAAAACTCCAGACTCCAAGACACCTTCGACAAGTGAAAGCACGTCGGGGGCCGAGCCGAAAACAAAAGATCCGAAGGCAGGAATTCCGGTTGCCAAACAACCGAAAAAAGATGAGCATTTGGCTGAAGGCAACACCAAAGAAATTGTGGAAAGATCTCTCCCCAGCAGAAGTTCCAATAAACAAAAGATTGAATCCAAAATGGAAGACCCAGGTGTAGAAAAAGTTACAACTAATGTAGATGAAGCAAAATCTAATTCACAAAAGGCAGCTGGGTCACTCACTGTAGATACGAATTCAAAACTTGAGAAGAAAAATGAAGCCGATGAACGTTCCCAAACGCAACAAGGAAGAAAATCGACAAGGGCGACAAATGTAGTGAAATCTCCAGCAGAACATGAAACAAAAAAGTCAGAGTCTTTGGTAATACCAAAAATTACTACTGACGATGACAAAACTGCGGACAACAACACCGGAGCTGCCAAAAAAGATACAACTTTAAAAAGCAATGAGGGTAATGGTCCAGGACATAAACGTAGCGATAATACCAATGCAGATCAACAGAGTGCGAGTGCAACATCGACGCCCAAACCAGATAAGAGAATAAGAGGGCTGGTAGTATCTTTGAAGAAAACCGATTTATCGAAGGTTTTGAATGAAAAGCTTTTACAAACCAATGAAAAGTTTGCGGGAAAAGCTGAGGCAGATTCCAAAATTGGAAGTTTTGAAGACAAAGCAAAAGAAGAGTCGAAAGAATCAACGAAACCTAAGCGAGATTCGAAAGATGAAAGAACTGCGGATAGAGCAAAACAGGATTCAAAAGATGACAGGACTGCGGATAGAGAAAAAAAGGATTCAAAAGATGACAGGGCTGCGGATAGAGCAAAAAGCGATTCTAAAGAGGCAAGATCTGCAGATAGAGGGAAAAGAGATTCAAAAGAAGAACGATCTTCGGACAGATCACGAAGGGATATGAAAGATGACAGATCGTCCGACCGAGCAAGAAGAGATTTAAAAGATGAGAGATCTGCTGACAGATCAAGAAGAGGTTTAAGAGATGACAAGTCTTATAGAGGATGGAAAGATGAAAGATATGCTCACAGATCAAGGAGAGATTTGAAAGATGAGAGATCGGACAGGGAGAAAAGATACATGAGAGGTGAAAAATATGAAGATAGATCAAGGAGAGATTACAGAGATGGAAGATCAACAGACAGAGCAAAGAGAGAAACCAGAGATGACAGAACTAGAAGCCGATCAAGTAGAGATTCGAGAGAAAGAAGATTTACTGATAGAACAAAGGGAAGTTCGAGAGATAATAGATCGAAAGATAGTAATAAGAGAGATACGAGAGAGGACAGATCTGCGAACAGAGCCAAGAATGATGTTAAAGACGAAAAACCTTCGGACAAGTCAAACAAAAACACAAAAAATGAAATACCCGCAGACAAAGCGAAGAAAGATGTGAAGGTTGAAAAATCCGCAGATACGAGCAAGGCGGCTTATGGAAAATCAGTTGACCAACCAACGAGTAAAGAAATGGGAAAAGTGGTTAGAAATCTCGAAAAGGAACTGCGAAGTGTTTCAGCGGCAGAAGAAAAAAGCACGCCACAGCGCAAAGAAAAGGAAAAAAAACAGGATCTGACAAAACAAAAAACCACAGCAATTGCCAAGCCCATTGAAGGAAAAAAAGAGGAGGAAAAGACGTCAAGTACTACTAACATTGCTTCTAAAGCTTTAAATGCCAAAATGCTAGAAAAGCAAACAGTAAGCGGCAAAGGGAAGAACACTGAGGAAAGAGAAGACGAGCAGCCAACAATCTCAACTGCAGACCTTGGAGAGGAGCAGATGCAAGTAGCTGATGAAGTTGCTGAAGAAAATGATGAGAAGAAAATTACCGGCAGTGGAAACGTAGAGCATGAAGAAGCTATCAAAGAGCGAACTCGTGAAGAAAAGACAACTGAGAATGTATCAGAAGGTATTGCTGCGAACGAAAACCCAGACAGAATACAAACGGAAGGAACTGAAATTGATTTAGAGAACGAAAGCAGACGCGAGATAGAAGCAGAGAACGTAGATGCTGTTGCATTGCCCGAAGGCGCAGAACTAAAACGGATAAATCTACAGCCGGAAGGAATTGATAAAAATAAAGTTTCACCTCAAGCCGAAAACGAAAGTACATCTGAAGCTAATAATGCCGAAGCTGAAAGGTCAAGCAGAAGGAAAAATGCGAAAAATTATACAGAAACCGGAGAAAACAATCAAAGAAAGGATGTCGATTCTAAAAATTTCACACAGAGTGAAGAAAGGCCCGTAGGAACGAAAGAGACAGCTATGATCGAGGGCTCAATTGAAGTGGAAGCGCAGAAAATCGAGCATCGAACAGCAGTCGAAAGCTCAACTGGAACAGAAAATGATGAGCTAACAGCAAGCACAGATAAAGCTGTGGATATTTCCGAAAGCTCATATAATGCACCAGAAAATGAAGATATGGCAGCAAGCACTGATATAACGGAAATCTCACCTGGAACAGAAAATGAAGATGTGGAAGTAATCGCCGATAAAACTGTGGTTATTTCCGAAAGTTCAGATAAAGCACCAGAAAATGAAGATGTGGCAGCAAAAACTGATACAACTGAAAGCTCAGCTGGAACAAAAAATGAGGATGGGTCAGATAAAACTGTGGCTATTTCCGAAGGTTCAGTCAAACCATCAGAAAAGGATGATGTGATAGGAAGAACTGATAAAACTGATATCACCGAAAGTTCAGTTAAAACAGAAGAAGACGTTGTTGAAAGTTCTGGTACAGCAAAAGAGGTGAAATTGAAAGCCAAAACAGTTGCTAAAAGCTCAGGAAAAGCTAATGAGAACAAGGCAAAAACTCAAGTGGTCATCCAAAGCTCAACTTTAGCGCTACATGAAGTAACTGAACAGGAAAAATCTTTAGAGCACGAAGCTGAGGCGCTTACGGAAAGTACAGACAAACAAGTTGCGCTGGAAGAAACGGGTTCAAATAAAAATTCCGTAGATGAGGTCGAAGTGGTAGTAGTCTCCGAAAGCACTGAGAAAAATATAAAAGACACAACAGAAGTTGGGGAAGTAGGTGAAAGTGCTAAGTCATCGTCCGATGAGAAGACGGCAGCCAAATCAGCAACCGAAAGCAGTGATAAATTGAGCTACGAAAAACCAAAAACTGATTACTTAACTAAGGAAGCAGACGCCTGTTCGGATAAACAAGCTGAACGTGATGAGAAAACAATAAACAAGACAACAGTAACAGATACCAGCAACGAAAACGTGACAGAACATGATAATACAACACGCGAACTTCGAAAAAGGGAAAATGAACCAAAACAGGGCGAGCAAATTGCTAATAAAACTGAATGCAATAAAGGCGAGATGCCAGAACGAAATACGCAAGAGCAAACGCCATCGTCAAGAGGAAACGCTGAAAGCGAAAAAGAGGTGGAAGAAGTCCATAACGAAGTATCAAGAAGTCTACGCACTCGTCTTACGCGATCTCAAGCAGAAACACAATCCCCATCACGATCGCCGGCCACGCCACAAACGCAATCGGCTAGTGAGGAGGAGCATGAAGGCTCAACACGTCGTTCGTTGCGCAAACGTGCGGCCGATCATTCACCCAGCAGCTCAAATGGTTAAGCTAATAATAATAAATGTGTCCAACCGAAAACTTTTCATATATAACTGAGATATTTTCTGCACTTTGTACTTACAGAACTAATTAAGAAAGGGGCTAAAGGTCGTAACACAAATCAACCACCAACTTCAACGGCACTGACAACAATTGCTCAAAAGCTGGTAAGGGAATCACTGAATATCAGCATCAGCAGAAGTTCTTCGGCAACACCAGCATCAGCTGCGACACGAAAGCGCGCGCGCGATTTGAAGCCAAGCACAACGGCTGAAGTAAATGGTAAGTTAGGGGCGAAATAGTATTTATAATAGTTTTGTGAAATGATTGGGTAACTCTTCTATTTTTCTTTCTTTTTTTTTTAGATATAGAAAAATCACCAGACAAGAAGCTAAAGTTAGACTCCCTGAGAAAGTGTAGTGAGTACAAATGTTTAGTTTTTTCGGTTCTTTAAATAAATCTATTTCAACGTCCACAGCTCGCATCCACAATGACGATGTCGACACCAGCGATGGTGAGCCTGACGCTGCTATTGCGCAACGCCGCTCTAGATTACCTGGCGGTAAAGAATCGCTAGCGAATAGAAGTGCGCAAGAAAAGTCATTAAAATCGGTGGGTGTCAAAGAGACCCCAACGAATAAGAGTACTACAGGTAGTTCGGAACGCAAACCAACACAGCCTTCAAAGCAAAGCGCTGCTGCCGAAATAAGGGAAACGCCAATAACTAGAACGAAGGATAAGCCTACTAAATTACAAAATTCAATAGCTGCCGAATCCAATAAACGACGCTCCAAACCTGAGCTGGATAATGTTCAACAACCTAAGAAGTTTGCCAGCTCGAACGAAGATCTAGCTGTAACACAGAAACCAGCAGGCTCAACCACCGCCGCAACAGCATCTCAGCGGCCTGAGGCTAAATTTGAGATCCAACACGCCACACCGGCCAGTGATGCTGTAGATCCACTAGAAATACCGGTTAAACGCATTAGACGTTTGCACGCCATCGATGGCTATGAGGCTACAAATGTGGCGGAAGAGCGTAAAGCGGAGGAATTGGAAAAAAAGAATTTAGCGCCTACTCGCAAATCATTGCGTGCTGGTGGTCAAGCTGACACAGCTAAAGACGAAAGCAATAAGATGCAAACTAAACAACAGCAGCAGCAAAGGGTAGCAAGAAGTGGTGAAATCACAGCTGAGACTTCGAAGAACAAACAAGCCACAAACAACGCCAGCAAACAATCGGTTAAAGGGGAAGGTAATGAGGCTGGCAAAAGTGCTGTCCCCGTCGATAAAGGTAATACTAGTACAAGTAAGGCAAATGGCGTGTCAAAATCACAAGCATCGCCGACGAAGTCGCCTGGTTCCAAAGTCATTACATTCAAGGAATGGCTAGAACAGCAGAAAAGAGGCAGCGGCGATAATGGCGAAAGCGCACAACCAGGAACCGTTGAGGGACCAGCTACCACTACAGCAGACGTCGCAACAGCTGTAGCAGCAGACACTGCTAAATCTAGTGAAGAGGTCGTGAGCGCCGAAAAGGATGTGAAACATTCGGCAAGTATACGAGAGGTAAGAGATGCGAGCAGAAAGAGAAAGGATGTAGTGCCTCCCGCCAGCAAAGAAACTCGTGGCACAATTGAAACAACGAAGGAAACACCCATCGCATCTAGGCAAGATGCCAGCGAAAAGGCGTCGCCTACAAAAGGCACTAATACACCAACACAGTTTAAGCGTCCATCGCTGCCGCAAAGATCAGCACGCGCGACGCCAGTTGCGCGCGGAATCAGTAGAACGCTAACGCCGGGAGGCAATCGCAAAAATTTGAACAGCACTCCACAAAGCGGCAGGGTAAGCATACAGGCGTTGATTTACTAGTTTCAACTTTTGTTACCATCATTTCTAAATCTACATTTTTCTCTTGCGATTTAAAGCAATTAGCACTTCAAAAAGTTGGTAACAAATGGAAGTTGCGTAAATTGCGCGTGCGCATTAACCGTTCCATAGTCGCCGCATACTTAAAAAAACATACTTTGAATAAGGCAAAAACACAAGGTAGGACTTTCAGTGATTTTATTATAACATCATAAAAATTTTCCTAAACTCTCGGCTTCTTTGGTTATCTTTCCTTTAGTAAAATATGTCGCCGACGAAAAAAGAATATCATCCTTACGTTCTGTTGCCACTACGGCGGTGCCTGAAGATGTCCACCCGCCCTCTGATGCTGCTCAAAAGGCTAGCCGTCAAAAGACCGTAACCATAACGCAAAAACGCGTTGCCCTGAAAACACCTGCAGCCTCACTAGCACAACTGCCCCCCCTAACCGCACGTCCAACTGTGGCAGCAGAAGCAGCAGCAGTGACGTCGTCGGTTGGTAAAGGGGATCAGACAAGATTGACCAATGTTTTGCCAAAATTAACAAAGGTTCCAAGCGTTTTGGAAAAGGACCCATTGGAATGTAAGTAAAATAACTAATACTGGCTTTTCTTTAGCACAAAAAATGTTTAATTTGAAGTTGTTATATATGTATTCATATCGCTCTCGATATTCTTTAATTTTTATTTTTATTTTGCCAATGGAGATCCTTGGTTCTTACTTGCATTTATTATCGATACATTTATCGATATCAGTATTGATAACTTTATCGATACATATGTGCATCCCATAAGATAGATTAACGCTTCCAGTTTGCAGCAATTCATAAAAGGGGGTACAAAAGTACAGTCAATATTAACAGTAATTGTAGTTTAATACGAAATTTTTAAATTGAGACCACATTAGAAAAATTTCAGTATACCATACAAAAATTGTGACGTTTAGGGGCAAAATGTTATAGAGCCCTTCATTTTGGCACAGCGTTATTTGGTGCGATTTTTATATATTTATAATATAATTTTTATAAAAGTTCATAATTTACTTATTTTGTATGCATATAAATTTCTTATTATTTATTACTTTTTATTTTTATTTTATATTATTATTTTTTACTATTCTTGTTTCATCAATATTCAGCTCAAAATGAACAGCAAATTTCCCCTACTGCTGATGCAGGTTATCAACAAGACAGCCCAGAAGAACTATCTTTATTAACTCCAATGAAGTCCGTTGCCGTAACGTCTACACACACAACTACCAATTCACGCGTTCAACAACAGAAGCAACAATCGGGTATAACAGCCGCTGAAGCTATGCGCGAAAAACGCGTTAGCGCTTCCAGTAGCACAGATTCATGTTCCACGCAACGGTCTATGCCGATTGGCGCTAAAGCTAGTGGTAACAGCTCAGCATCGAATGCTGCCACATCATTTACGCCAGTTGTACCCAAAGAAGAGCTCGTTGATGATCAGCAACAGCAGACCCAGCAATCAACACCTTCACGTGCAGTAGCAGCTGTTTCTGCAGACAACTCGGCGATGACCAACTCATTGGCTTCGCGCACGTTGGCAATAGCTGCTGCCACCAATTCGGCGCTCAATCAAACGCCCTCGGGCGATCCAAGCGGCTATTATGGACTCACGCCTACACAATTGGATTCGAACGGCACGCGATTGTACTCTTTCTTACATCCGGCAAAGTATAATCGTAATCATGGCTGTGTGCTACTCGACTACTGTTGCCCCAATCTGGACGGTCCTATGCCGGCAATAGATCCTACGCGTATACACGCGCAAGTGCAGGCTGGTGTGCGAGAGCTACCCGCTTATATTGTCATGACAACTAAGCTAATAACGCGCGCCGATTTGGAGGCAAACAAGAATGTCATACCAGCTTCGATACGTCAGAAGGTAGAGAAAATTACAGCTGATTCTTCGAATGCTTCGGCCAACCAATCGGCATTGGCGGTTGTTAGTGGCACACCTAACGTTTCAATGTCTATACCATCAACACCACAAATCACACCTGGTTCGAAGCCTTCGCTCACCCCAACCATAACTGCACTTCAGAAGCATTTACCATCAACAACAATTATTACACCAAAGTTGTTGCCAGCTGTATCCACATCAGGTTTGGCATCGCCACTAAATTCACTGAACAGTAGCACACAGGGTGGTACAGTGACAACAACATCGTTACTGATGTCCGATTATCAACGTTCATTATTGCGCACCAGTGTGCGCCAATTCGACGCACGTCTAAAAAAGTACTATTATCGCGTAGCAATGCTCTCATTTTCCGATCGACAAATCATTATTGACAACATCATCAACTCAACATCACTCACCCCCAAAGATGTTGAATGCGCTGTACGTTTGCTTGATGAGTATGCTTCACAAATCAACCTTTTACCCAGTGCATCTGCTCTCGGTACACCGAAGCCGACTACACCACAAGCTATGCAATCGATTTCGAAAGCCATTACAACGCCGACAACCAACACTGCGGCACGCACGTCCACTATGCCGCAGCAAATACAAAAGCAACATCAAAATCAACCAAATTCTACAGGTCAAATAGCGGTATTGGATAAGGACAATAGTCTATTGGGCTACCAGATAACATCTTCCGCAAGTACACTGAGCAAATCAACCGTTTCTACGCGTTCAAGCATAATGTCAACTACGACAAAGAATACATCGCTGCCACATGTGAAGGCAGCTCAGGATTCACCACGCATTTTTTACACTAAGCCACCGATGCAAACTTCAACACCAATTGCAACCACCAATAGCAGTGGTACAACTACGCAGAGCGGCGTCAAAACGGTTTCGTTAAGAAGTACACCACGCATGGGACGAGAGGTGACCATAAGGCAGGTGAGTAAGAAATGCTAGTTATGTTAAACTGAGCATTTTAATTTTGGGGTAATTCGCTCTTGTATGACTAAATTGTATCTTGTTTAAGTGTAAACGAATGCGCATGTGATTTGTTGTTGCCAGTGGTACAATAAATACCTTGCCACAGCAATCATGATCCAGTTACACGTGGGCAAGATAGAATGAACGCGTTCATTTCCAAACGAAGTTCTATTTTCCTTGTCTCCCTTTTTAAATTATTTTATGGTAAAAACGAAAAACCAAAGCCAGCATTAGACATACGATCCAAATGATGAATCGATAACAAAACTATTTTTTATTGTTGCAAGCCGTTTTGCTTTCTTTTGAGAACGGTATTCCTTTTATATATTATGGTTAGGTTAGGTTAGAATGGTGGCGGAAGAACTATTACGTGCAAGTAGCAGCTAAGTGCCATTTTGATACCATATACCTCGAATGAGTATGTTAGAACCAGCCGGCGTGGTTGATGAAGTTGAGTATGTTGTGGAGACTTATATCAGATAGCTCTCGTAACGATGTGAACTCATATGCTCCTAGCATGGTATTTCTGCTCCTCATTAGAGCTGGACATTTGCAAAGCAGGTGTTCTACTGTTTCCTGCTTGTTCTCATCTCTGCAGCTTCTACAGAAGTGGTTGTAGGCGATTCCCAGCCTTCTCGCGTGGGTACCAATCGGCCAATGCCCAGTAAGAGTCGCAACAAGCCTAGCAACGTCAGATCTGGGTTTCCTTAGTAGGTTGTGTGTTCTCTCAGGGCTGTACGCAGGCCACAATAGTTTGGATATACGGCAGCCTACCACGGTGCGCCATCCTTGATCGGATTTCCGGAGATTGTGAGATATGTCTTTATATAAGGATCCAATTGGAGGTCAGATCCGGTCCTCGATCGACACCAGTGTGGAACCCTCTCTGGCTAACTCGTCTGCAGCCTCGTTTCCGGGAATGTTGCTATGACCAGGGACTCAAACTAAATCTAGATCGAGTTGACGACTTACTGTATTTAACAGCGTCCTACACTCCTTGATTAGTTTCGACCTTGTTGTAAAAGACGCTAAGGCCTTAATGGCCGCCTGGCTATCTGAGAAAATGGCTACTCGCTCGCCGTGAATTGATCTTTTTACTCCCAGTCACTCAGAGTAAATACCTGCTCCAACTCCGCGTTCCATTTTGGAGCCATCGGTGTACATATGATGTGTCCAGGTAGAGATGTCAAGTTCCCCATCCCAGTCGGCTCTCGACGGAAGAATGGCCCCGAAAGGCCTGTGAAACTCTACCTCAGGTCGAATGTAATCGGTTGCCAGCTTCAACTTAGGTGGCAAACGGAAAATTATACTGCTATGCCCGATCGTTCTTTCTTTCCATACACCTAGTTCTCTAAGTCTTATAGCCGATAGTGATGCGGTGTGTCGTATGTGAAGGTCTATAGGAAATAGGTTTGTAATAACATTAAGGGGAGGGCAAGTTCTCATTGCCCCATATATCTTATACTTACTCCATATAAAAATGTTTGTCCCCGCTCAAGTTATTCGATAACACAGAGCAACACTGGTATTGGTGCGACAAATGTTAAAGCTGTTTTTGATAGACCTTTTGGTGCTGTTAAGAATCCGTAAGTATAAAGCTTTTATAAGCTCCAGATTTTGAGAGAAACGAGGTCAAAGTGCCGAGAATTTGCCTTTTTTTTTGCAATATTTATGAAGCCCTGACAAAAACAGGCAGACAGAACCTCCCATTAGATTTTTTAACTCTTTAGTGATAAATGACTATAAGTGACTATCATGTCAAGGTGCAGGGATGGTATTTCCAGGGATAGTAGTCAAGAGTTATGGTCTTAATTTAAGCCTAAGTGGAAGGTTCTATAACCTTTTGTTTCTTTTCTAGAGCTAAAATATTGCAAAGAACTCATTTTTTGACACTTTGACCTTATTTTTCTCAACATCTGAAGCTGATAGAAACTTTTTACTTACGGATTCTTAGTCAGCGCCAAATTCTATCAAAAAAATTTGTTCCCATTTTTGTTGGCCTGTGTAAAGAGTTCTGAAAAATATTTTACAAAAAATTCAAAAATAAGAAAAAGTAGTGAAATCTTCCGTCAGCTGTCAATTGGATTTGTAAATTATTAGTTGCGATCCCGTACGAATCCGGACTAGTCAGAATCAGTCTGATTTTACTGGAAATCGATCCCGCACTCGGTTTTCTGACTATTGAGAGGAAATAAGGTCCTCTCTCTTCAAGTAGTTACCAGTTTTAGTCCGATGAATTTTTTGCTGGTAAATTCTGGTAAATATGCCAAACGATCAGCTGTAGTGTGTTTCGCAACCAAATTGCAAACAAAAGAAAAGTGCGCTCTGCTAATGTATGTCGAAAACTATTTAATTATTTGATTAAGTGGATTCTAATGAATTTGAAAGTATTTTTTTGGTTATTTACATGTGTGAGCTGAGTGTGTTTTATACCATGTTCTGACCGACATCGAAAACATGTTTTCGTTGCTAGAACTGGTTTTCGACTTAAAACTTGTGTTTTCGTCCATGTAAAATCTGTCAAACGAAAACCAGTTTTCGCTGAAAACTACTTGAAAACTCACGTTCCACTCATTCCAATCGATGTCTTCACTAGTTTTTTTTGATTATTTATCGAAGTGGAAGTCATATTTTATCATCTTAATACGCCATTTCGGATTTATTGTTAATTGGCTGGCAAAAGTAAAATAAGAATGAAAGTAAGAGGTTGCAAATGAAAAGAAAATGAGGGAAAAGCATTTTGGTTTCGTTTTTGTGTAGCAAAACCGTAATCAGAGGATGTAAGAAATGTCAACGAAAACACTAACAGCCGGTGTGAACAGCCTTCAGCCCACAATCCCAAAACACGTTTTCAAAGTGTTTTCGTTGTCGGTCAGAACATGGTATTAGATACAAAATAAGCAAAAATTTACAACCAAAATTTGGAGGTTATTCTGGGTATAGCATTAAAAATAATAATTAAAAAAAATACCTGCAGTGTACACTTTGATTGGAAATGACCCAAACACAAAATAGAGAATACCCATATTGTAAAGAATAAATGGTGACAGGTGTAAATTAATTGTGAGAGTTCATTATAGGTTTGTTCCACAAGGTACGTGTAGAAAAACTCGAGCAAAGTTCAAACTGTCAGCGTATATCATCAAACAAACTCTAAAACTTACTTGTGGAACGCGTATGTGTAACTCGAAGTGACTTCGAGTAGCTTGTGGAACAAACCTTATATTTCTTCAGCTAAACAATTAAAAAATATTAGGCATATTCCCATTAATTAAAATTTGTGTCGCTTGGGTAAAGATTGTCTTATGTTACTTTCATCAGGTTTTGGAAGTTTGGCGTGCAATTTCTCAAAAACGCGACGATGGATTTTCTCCAAAGTCTCCGGATATTATTAATTTATTTTATTTTTATTGAGCTTAAGGCCGTTTTTATGAAATTTTTTGTATAAAAACAACAATAATTTACATTTTGGTAGAAGTTATAGCTGCTATTTCGCAGATCACCACATCTCCTCATCAGACTTCTTCACTGGGATTCGATACAGTGACCCCAGCGGCCAAAGCCAGTAGTCTATCCACTGTTTATTGTTCATTATTTCTGAGTTTATGAAGGATTTCCTTTTGCTGCATGCTACCTTTGTTAATAATTTTGCAGCCACTTTGTAAAAAAGTATCTGTAAGTTCGGGCGAAACCGAACTTTATATAGCCGGCGCACGTATTAAATATAAATAACTAGAGTTCACTCTTTGATGCAAAAATGCGAAAAACAAAAATCAGCGCTTTGTTTTGCAAAAAAGCGTGAAATAATATTGTCAGTGCGAAATGCTAAACGTCAAATGGCAACAGCTGTTTACGAAAATTAAATGAACATATACGCAACAAAGTGAGAAAAGTAAAATTTTATTTATTTTATTTTCTTCTGCTTCATAGCCATTTTTAATTGAATTAATGCTCAACTCAGTCAGCTGATTGTCATAAATTTCGCTCTTTGCATTTCGTTTCATATGTTTGTTGTAAAAAACTGTCAAATATTTCACATTTTCGCTATTTCGTTCAAACGCACACAGTTTTGCTTTAAAGAGGGAACTCTATTGTTTTTTCATGAGAAGCTGGGGTTTCCCTCGATTTCAAACATCCTCGATTGCATGCTCAATTAGATTTAATGAAATATGCAATTGAACTGGGCTTGGTAGAAATCGATAAAGTGCTTACCGAGATAAACTATATAGCTATAAGTAGGCAGTGTTGTGCCCATTTTCCGAAAATCTGTATTAAACTTATTTCTTGATATTGTTGTAATTATTAACTTGGAGTAAATTAGCGTCCTTATTTCCATCATGACATTTACTGAACAAAAGATTTATTAATATTTCCATCATACTGGTTTATTCATTTTTTTTTAACCGACTTCCAAAAAAGGAGGAGGTGGTCAGTTCGTCGGAATATTATTTTTTTTTTTTATGTATGTTACCGCATAACTTTGGACCACGTCAACCGATTTCGATAATTCTTTTTGTATCGGAAAGGTAGTGTCCCATACTAATCTGGTTAAGATTTGATCAGTGGATCATGAGATATATATATATATATATAATATTATTGAAATATAGGAGTTTACGTATTTCTGAAAGTTACCGTTATATAGAAAGTGAGCGTAATTTTATTCCGATTTCAAAAATTTTCAACATATTGCTTTTCTGTACTAATGGCAATAACTCCGCCGAGTTTGGTAGATATTCATAAAGCGGCAGAGTAGGCTTGCATTCCAGAACTAATGTTAACCACAGCAGAAGCGCCTGTAGTAGCAGAATAAACGGGTGACTATGGTATTGCAGTTCCACCATTAGCTGCAGCAGCATTAACAGTTCCACCGTAAGTAGCGGTAGCATTAAGAGAGTCTGCCGCGATGAATAGTTTTCTTACAGATCCCAAAACTTGGCACAACATAAATATCACTT